GGGGGGGGGGGGGGGGGGGTCTAACCGTAACCCAAACTTGCAAGCACACGAAGGGGAGTCTGGGAGGCCCTCCCCCAGAAATGTTTGAAATTAGACCCTCTTAGATGCATTTTCTGCGCGAGCAGGGGGGGTCCAGACCCCCTGGACCCGACACCCCCCCCCACCCCTGTACACGCCCCTGTTAAGACTTTGGTAATAGATATAATTTATGTTTATTTTCCATCATTTTATTATTAAAAATTGCCAAGTCACTCGGCAAGTGACTGTGGCTACACCAACTTACATGGAAACCCACTACCTTACAATCACTGGCAGCAAGAACAAGCCCGCACGTACAACACACACGCGGCATTGACTATAATAACAACATGCGTGCCTAACTCGCCGCCGCAGTTTCCACACTCACCGTTTTCAAATCGTTACAACTCCCGTGTTCGTGCAGGTGACGCCACTTCCCAACTACTCGTTGGAATCGCGGAGACTGCTGAACTAGCTACATCCGCCATTTTTGACAATCGCCTGCACGAATGCGCTCAAATCACAGAAATCCTCAAATATACATGCGAAATGATCCTCTCGCGATGCCACCAGGCAAACGGTGGCATGCCCAATCGCTGGACGGCTGCACTGATTGGCTGCAGCAAGTTTAACGTGCAGACAGCGGTGCAACTACGTTTGTTGACATCGCGGGTGAGTTATGGCCAATCAGCACAGCCGCCAGCAATGGGCATGCCGCCCGTTTGCCTGGTAGCATCCGAAGGATCATTTCGCATGCATATTTGAGGAATTTCTGTGATTTGAGCGCATTTCTGGCGGGCGATTGTCGAAAATGGCGGTGTAGCTTGTTCAGCAGTCTTCCGCAATTCCAACGATAGTTGGAAAGTGGCGTCACCTGCAAGAAACACAGAGACGGAGTTGTAACCGATTGAAAACGGTGAGTTGTGGAAACTGGCGGCGGCGAGTTAGGCACCATGTTGTTATTATAGTCAATGGCCGCGTGTGTGCTGTACGTGCGGGCTTGTTCTTGCTGCCAGTGCCTACAATTTACAAATTACAAACTAAATCAGTACGTACATGGTACGTACACTGTACATTACTAATACTAATACTATATTCAGTAAAAGCCTGAAATCAAATACATCACTAAAACTAAAGTAAAACTGTATTAACTATTAAGTATTATACAGTGTATATTTGTATAATAATGCCTAAGACTAAGAGTAAGACTAAGAGTAAGAGTATAAGAGTCAGACTAAGTATAATCACTTAATATAATGTCTGTACTGAAGACCTAGTGTAAACATGGTTGATCATGTGGCCCAAGGATAGAGAACATGGGTCCCAATAAAACCAATGTGCCTAACCCTAACCCTAACCCTATTAGTATTATATTGATATAATATTAATATTAATTATTATATTTATATTGATGTAAATGACATTGGTTTTATTGTGACCCATGTTCTCTATCCTTGAACCGATCATGTGACTATGCTAAACTTAATAGCTCTATGAATTACCTACCGGTGTAGCCCTTCGCTCCCGCTACCTACTACTACTACTAGTACTACTAGTACTACCTAGGGCCAAGGCCCGCGGCTGCACTGCATGGCAGAGTTAGGCTAAACATAAAATACAAACTGGCCAAAACACACACAGTCACACCATCGACGAAACACATTTTGAGGCATACGTCTATGAGTGTTACAACTTATATGCGCTACCTGCATTTGATAGTTCTGAGTGTCACGAGGTCATCTCACCAAGTCAGAAAGTTTACAATTTTAGAATAAATTGCGATATCCAACCTTCGACATTTCTGCGCATCTTCGAAGTTGTAAGGTCTTGCCAGACTTCGAACTTGCCCGACGCCTGCAACCCATGGTACCCAATATGCTTGTCCACTCCATAGACAGACAGACAGACGGACGGACAGAGATCGCAGATATATATATATATAGATATGTGTGTGTGTGAGCGTCTGGGCGTCCGTCGATGAATGGATGCATCGATAGATGGACGGATGTACCAACGGGCGAATGAAGGAATTGATGGATAAATGAACGAATGTACGAATTGGAGGATGGGTGGATAGATGAATATACGGATGGATGGATGGATAGACAGAGGCGGATAAATAAAATGATAGGTAGACGCAGGGCCGTAGGGAAGGGGGGTGCGACGGGTGCGCCCCCCGCCCACAGGCTGCAGAGGTCCACTTTTTTGTGGATCAACGATTAGTTAATTAATAAAAAAATAATAGCATTGTTTGTTCTAATCCGCTGATTGTGTAGTAAAAATGAAATAAATAAGCAAAGAAAAAATATTCCATGTTTGATTAGCAGCCGGCGACGGAGATAGTCAATAGATGACAATTTCAATAAATTTCAATGTTTTTTCGGCCATGTCTAGACATGTTGAATGTTTATACATGTTGAATGTCCATTTTAAAGTTCAAATATTTGAGAAATGTCCACGTTTTGAGGTTCGCTTTTGGCTGCCTGTTTTCATATCATACTGCCTTCAAAACGCGCGAAATGCGGTCTCAGAAATTTTTCGGGGGGGGGGCATGCCCCCGGAACCCCCTAGAGACTGGCGCTTCCGGCGCTCGTTAGGTCCGTATACTCTTTGGATCGCACCCTCTCGTAAATAAACCTGCCTACGGGCCTGAGACGGATGGATGAACGGATAAGCAGTGGCGGATCCAGAAGTGAATTATAGGGGAGGAATCATGCGAGCTCAAGGGCACGAAGCGCCCGAGGGGGGAGGGTGTTAGGCTAAAATACCCTTGCCCTGAAAATTCTAGGTGGCGCCCGCACCCTGTGCCCCCCCCCCTGGATCCGCCACTGGATAAGTGTCTGACAAATAAAGGAAGGAATGAATGAATGAACGAATAAATTGTTTGATGGATGGAGAGGCGGATAGACAGACTGACAGATGAATGGATTGATTGATTGATTGATAGATGGATGGATGGATGGGTAGATGGATGGATGGATGGATGGGTGGATGAATTAATGGATGGATGGGTGAATGGATGGATGGATGGATGGATGCCTTGGATGGATGGATGGATGGATGGATGAATGAATGGACGGATGGGCCGGTAGACGAATAGATGGATGGATGGATGAATGAATGAGTCATATAAATGGATGGTTAAACGAATGGATAAATTGATGGATGGGCGGACAGAGGTACGAACGAACGCACCAATGGACGGTTGGATTTATGCATGTATCGATGTAAGGGTTGATGCGTGAATGGATAGAAAGATGTACGTATGTATGGATGGATAGATGGGCGGATGGACGAAGTGGTGAATGGATGGACGGATAAATGAATGAATGAATGAATGAAGGAATGAATAAGTGAATGAATAAATTGATAGGGCAGATGGACGAGAGGACGGTCGGTCGGACTACCGTGTCCGTATAACTTTATCTATATTTGCTCTACTCATGGTAGTATTGAGCACTCTCGACACACGAGTTCATAAACAACCATTGGAATCTATATATATATATTGGTAAAAGCATTAGGTTTATGAGCATATATACCCGGATATCGTGCTCTTGGTGTAGGGCATGCATCATACAGGACATAGTGCTGATTTGTGGTGTTACTCTTGATACAGGTGCTAAAAACTGCAATGCTGATAACTGCGCGAGTTTGGTTTGCTAAATAATGACCGTTTGCTGTTCTGTACCAGTTCCAGCTCGTATGTCACACACAGTTTTAGCGTGCATGTGTCTTACATGGTAGGCCATAGCCTTTACTGAACTATTTACTCGGTACAAGGGGCCGTACCTACTTACCGCCCCTAGTGATCGAGAACAACGGGGTGTCGCGTCGCGATGACGTGGTTAGAAGACCAAGCTGAGTGCGCATGTGCCTCTAGACACACGCGCGCACGTATATGCACGCGAGCACACACATACACACACACGCGCGCGCGCGCAAGCACCTACGCAAGCACGCACGCACGCACGCAACCCTGCACGCACGCAAGCACGCACGCACGCAAGCACGCACGCACGCAACCCTGCACGCACGCAAGCACGCACGCAAGCACACACGCACGCATATATTTATATATAATATTGTATGCCCCAATGGTAATGATCCCGACCGGCTGATATGAGAGCATCCTATGTTAAACCCCAAGGAAAAGCGGGCATGCATCCGTGCATCCCTTTTACAGACAGTTACACCTAATGTGGTGGTCGAACTTTTCATCATATTTTTACAAGAAAGCAGAGATTTACCTGAACATTTTTTCTACGCAAGGAGAATTATCTACTCAGTTTCTAATATGGCAAAATATATGCATTTGTTGGTAACTGACTCTATAATAACGCCTTGGTGATAAGATATTAAAATTAATACACGTTTCCACATAACAACCCATGTCACATTGTGCTTCGTATCATCAGTCGGGAACTACGATAGATATATCTGATATAGATACTCTGATATTCAAAAACATCTATATATTTTGTCATTTTCATGACGAGCGATGTTTAAAATTCCCCTTTCCTCGAATATGAGAGTGGAAGTGTGACTGTTTTTCCTGGGAGTGCCACCATCCCCCTCCCGTTAACCTCATCAATCAATATTAGTACTAAACTCTCGGTTAACATGTATTTTTCTTAGTTCAAACTTGTTGTGACACAAAATTGTATAATATTATGTTCAGGTTCTCACCTTAAAACCATAGGTTGTAAATTCAAAACAATAAAAATGAAATTTAATATATCCATTTCCAACAGGTTTTATTGAAGTTGACAGTCATCTTGTCAGGATTTATAGTTTGGTTGATTTGTCAGGCTAGATCATTCATTCATTCGTAAAATCCTTGTTTGTCTATTAAATTTTAATATAATTTCAGTTGATAACTGATTAACACTGCATGCAATGGCTTATTTGATGCAACATTACCTATTGCTCTTGCATACGCCTCAATAGCTATATTAATTTATGTCAACTTTCCATGCAATAAACAAGAGATGATACACTTGGAACGGGCCATGTACAGTGCAACCTATAGGTTACGCTGTGCTTAGTAAAATTAAAATGAATATAGAATACTGCATCATTAATGCTGCACACATAAAATAACTTCAATAGAAACCCTCCTTCCTGTTGAATGTGACAACTGCATAACTTGGCCTAATGAACAACTGTTATATATTAGCATTGAGATAAATCAAGATTCTCTCGTTTTTGTTCAAACGATAGTTTTACATTTTAGCGATATTTAGCACTTTTCAAACTGGCATATCTTATATACAGTTACATCATTGTAATCCAATGTATGAAGTAGACACACTATAACAGTGAATTTACTGGTAAGCATGGGAGTACAGTTGTATTGCATTTCTTTGACTCCTCAGGTTTTCCTTGAGTGACCACATCTAAAAATATAAACCATGTCATTAAGATATGGCTGCCTTACTATAAGTCAAGTATCACCCCTGCCCTGTTTAAATAGAACCGTGAGCACGTTAATACACGGAGTAGATCCTAGCTGAGATTCCTATAAACACTGTCAACTAATCTGGAATAGTAAGAAACTCGGATGCGATCACACACTTCACAGTACTATGCTGTTTCGTTTTACCCAACAAGTAATAATAGTGCAGCAGCACACAGCGATATTTGTTTTGCAATACCCCACATCCGAGTAGTCAGTCGTCCACTTGTAACTGTAAGCCCCCATAAGTTATAGGTACATTTGCTGTGATCTCACACTTGGCATCGTCAACATGATTGTTTTGTTAGCACCCCTGAACATCAGATACGACCAAAAAGTTCGATGTTATGTGTCTATCTCTTATTCAAGGCTCGACACTCGCGGTGGCCCGGTGTGGCCCCAAAACTTGATGTCGGGCCAACAAAATTTCAAAGTGTCTATGTGATAAAAATAATTGTTTCTTATGTGCTAATCTCATTCAAAAGAGAGCGAGCAATTCGTGGAGCGAGCGTGATCAAATGAACACAAATCAGCAGACACCGCGCCGGTCGCAATTTGCACTACACTGTACTGCACTGTATGTAAAGTATATTGCTAGCTAGCTGCGTTGGAGCTCTTGTTTAGATAAATAATGAGTGAAAGTAGAAAAATGATATGCAAGATTTTGGTGTAAATTTGATGCCGTGGAATGGATAATTCAAATGTATGCCTCAATCATCAATGTCAGTGTGTGCCATTGTGTGGGGTTTGTTTAAAGACTTGTGCAAGTGCATCAGATGGACCAATTTTCAAATAATATACAATACGAGATTGAAATAAAGATTTGTTTTTCTTTGGGTTTTTTTCAGGCCACCAGATTTCATTTTCGGGCCACCAAAAATTTAAAATCAATGATTCGGGCCACTGAAAAAAAAGTTAGTATGGAGCCTTGTCTTATTTATCACATAATTATTTCCTACCTGACCAATTGAGTATTGTTAAGATGGATTTAGTGTCGTCAGTTAAACAACAATGAAACATGCAGTCTATGTAACATTAGTTGTTTGGAAAGGACGATTAAACAGCACGCTGGATCGAAGTAAAGGAGAGTGAATTTTTGTTTAATTTGATGTTTAGATGCTTGAACAGAATGAAAATCATTCCTACAATAGTTTTAGGTCTACCTCGGTTACGTCTTGTTTAAACACAGGTCAAATGCTCTTCATGAAACAATATTTGATCAAGTCAGATAAACTCATCGGAACATCAAAAATGCAATACAACTATACTTGACACATTTCGGGCTTTACCACCTACCAAAGTACTGGCACCTATATAAACCTGATACATGCAGTCAGCATATAATCATAGTGGCCACAAACATCAGTTAAAAGCAAACCATGCCACTGTGTGTATAAATATACCTGCTGCCTGTCAACAGTTTCACATATTTCCAAGCAATATCAAACAGATGGTGAGAATACCTGCCATTTACCATATCGAGCGGTTGAGGTTACATACAGCCCAGTTATCCGGTAGAATAACCAGTGTGTGATACCTGCATCTAACAAGCATGCAATGAATGAAACGTCGTTATTATATTAATTGAAAAATTCTCTGATTCAATGTCCTAGTTTAATGCAATTACAGAAACCCACATGTACTATGCCAGCTAACCAACCTAATTCATGGCATCTCTTGCAAAAAACCTAGCCAATTTGGCTGGCTATTGGGTTGCTGAGCAGTGGCATCAGTACGGCTACCAGCTGATACTATAGCAGGGTCCTCTATTAGCCAGTTATTTCCCATTAAGCTATGCTGCGACTGGGGCGTTGCATAGTGGCCATTCCATTCATCTGTGTGCAAGGGGGCAGTAGCTGACACCGGGGTGCCAAAGGTTACATTAATATTGGGTAGGAGCGCTTTCAAACCATCCTGCCAATCCTTCATGTTGAAGACGTCTGGCTCACACGCTGCAGGCCTATCGATTGTTACCTGGTCATTCGATGCATGATCGCTCTGCATGAGTCTCGTCAGGTTAGCTAGGTTGGGTGGATGTCGGATGACTGAGAGTGCCACCCCTGGAGGAGCCCGTATTGTCGTCGTAGGCACGTGGCTTATATCAAATGATGGCGTGGTAAAACCAGGGGGTGCCCTCACAACGTTGCCGCCACACCCACGCTGATATGGATTGACGCCCGTCGTTTTTTCTATCAACTGTGCGAGCGCTGTCGAGGATTCCGACCATCCGATGAGTCCTTCTATGCTATCCTCTGTTTGCATTTGCTTGTTGTGTAACACGGAATTATTTTTGGGCGACTTGATGTCGGGCAAAGATGCCGGCGAACCAGGTACTTCAGCAGATGCATTAGACGTCCTAGAACGACTCGCACTGACCATCTCGTTCGGAGCATGCTGCATCCTAGGCACACCGTGAGGAGAAGTGTCACGAAAAGCTGTTGCACGTGCCTGCTCCTTCCCAAAGCCGGGCCATATGGAGTCGTTGTCCATCGGTCGCGCCTGTATGCTTTGCTGCAGCAATTCCATTGTTGGTGAGTTGAAGCCCGGGTTGTGTACCTTCTCCAATCCCTGGTGGAAATATTCTCCCGAATCGCTCCCGCCTGACGTGTGTCGATCTCTGCCGATCGAGCAGGCATTGCCCATCATGTTAGCCAGGTGCATGTCTAGCTGATTTAACGATGCAACCGGTGATGGACTCTGCCTATTTGACTCTGCCAAAATTTGCTGCTTGTCTGCTTGATGCTGCGCAACGGAGGGCCAGGTCTCGTGCTGGTAGCTAAGAGGAGAGATGGACGATTTTGAGCCCTTGCGTTTCTCAACAGGCTGTCCAAACAGAGCTTCATGCAGCCTCATCTCATATTCCTGATGCTTGCCCTGCTGCATTTCTTCTTTCGTAAAACTTGCAGATTCATCGCCAAGTTCATGAAGGTACATGCAGTCAGGCTTTGGGCACTGTGAATTGCGCAAGAAGTGGGAGCAGTATTTAGTTGTGCCAAGCGATGCTTTCAATGTCTTACCATCTACAAACACATTATTAACCGACTGTATGGCTCGTAGAGCATCCTCTGCCCTGTAGTATGTTACGTATGCACTTGCACTTGGGCCTTGTGAACCTGCATATGATGTGCTATTATTTACCACCACCTTCATTATCTTGCCAAATTTTCCAAAATACTCATGTTTTTTTAAGACTTCCGCGTCAGCTAGCCTCTGCGACAGTCCAACTACAAAGACCAGATTTTTTTGCACGACCCGTACACTTGCTAAATGCTTGCGGTTTTCTGATATTTTCTGTTTTCTTTGAATATCTTTCTGCTTTTTTTGTGACTTTATCTTGTGCAGCTCCTCTTGTGTAAGCGGTTTGTATAGTGCTGGGTCTTCTGGGTATGCTTTTCTACATGCTGGACATAATCCATTTTCATCTGTCCTAATTCTATGCCAGCAAAAGCGGCATATTTGATATCCACAAGTGCACGGAAAAAAGTGCACATCGTCGATTTCTAATGGTTCCATACATAGTGGACACTCCACACAATCTTCACCTCCAGACATTGTGTAAGGCGCACAGCAGAACTTCTCAGCGTTGCGATAGGCCGTTCACGTGTTAGCCAAGTGGGCGCCTGTATCTACCAGCATGCACCGGCAATCCACGGTCAGTCTTAAAAATCAGAAACACGACCTTTGCGTTCCCAGTCTCCGTAACGGGTTGGCTCTGGTCCACTGGGTCCTCCAATTTCTCCTGTTTTAGGATTCCTGTAGTCTGGAAATGGTGGGTATGTGAAATGTGGATGCTTCTCAGTGCGCTCAGATACCTTGTCAAAGTGGCCTTCTGGTGTGGGACGCTTTTTTGTTGTGTTCGTCTTTCCTTTTGGCAATTCGGCACTGCTGTTCTCCTGCTTTCCAGACAATTCTCTCAGGAAAGAACAACCTGAAAGTAAAGGATTATCTGACAATGAAATTGAGCACATGATGTATATATATGTGTGATGATTACACCTAAGTAAAGTATGAAACACCCCAGGGGCTGAAAATAGTGGTTTTTGCCAGTAGGTCAGGGACTTATCAGCAATATTTTTGGAAGGTCCGAATATGTCAACAATGTATAGTATCAGGAGTAGATAATAGTTCGCTATTATCTACTCCTGATAGTATGTGCATAATGTATTTATTGACCTTGTTAGATAATGCTTTGTTAATAACGTTTGTTTGGCTAATAGATCATCGTTTGGTAACAGTGGGTCCATGCTACTAACGTTGCAGCATACGCTATCAGTACGTGTAATTTTGATCAGATTTTCGGTGAATTTGACTCTTATACCTGGTATGTTTCATCGTGAATATGATATACTAGATGTCAACAGTGACCAAAAATCAATCTACTTTCGCTTTATTTCTTCACAATTTGCAATGGTTTAATGACGTTTTATTTAATGAGTGGAGTACTATATATTATTGATAATGATAGGTCCGGCAGACTTTCTGCTCAGAAATTGCGAAGGTCAGAGCACAAAATCAGCAGGTCCCGGACCTCGGACTTGCCCTATTTTCAGCCCCTGCATCCTTTGACTATTAGCAAGTAGCATTAGCAAATAAAACACTTATCTTCAATATTAAAGGTACTATTTAAGCCATTTTCTTCAAAATTAAGTATAGGAGTAGAATATATATGTAACAACTAGTAATAAGGAAAAAAATTGCATAACAAAAATAACATCTCCACCATCAAGTGATGAAATGTGGAAGTCGTTTTATCATTTCAATTCAAAGTTACGTTGCTTTTATTCACAGTGGCACAGTAGGCTGACAATAGCAGTTGTAGGGTGTAAGTCTATTGCTTTTCAAATTTGAGAACTGTGGACAAGGGGTTGTGCACCTTTATTAAATTTTTGAGGGGATAATCTTTCAAATTTTTTGTCTAATAACTTCTTGCCCACGTGTCTACCAAAACTAACTGGTTCTTAAAGTCAGGTAATTTTCAATTACTAATGAAAAGGTCAAAGTTGTATTTTTATGGGATGCTTAGTATAAAATTCTTGGGTTTAATTAGGAATTGTATGGCACCATGGCAAGTTATAGGGCACCAATGCGACTCACTTTTTATTAACATTTGTTATGGAACAGAGAGCGATACATTCACAACATGGAATTTATGGCAATAGCACAGAATAAAATATAATTAGGCAACTAGGGCCATTTACTGTTATGCATATCGACAAATTTTCTAGGCACCATTGCAAGGAGGGTAACCATAGCACCATCAAGTGAAATTTGAGCTTTGCAATTGGAAAGGTCAATTTATGTTATCAACCCAGCATTTGTAATAATTTATGATAAATAGTTAGATTAACACTCACAGAAACACAGAATGTAACAAAATTATCAGACTACAAAAATCTATCTATTAGCCCTCGTAACTCCACACTGCATTTTGATACTCTCCTTAGTGACGCTGAGAGGGTCTATGTCCCCCAGGGTACTGCCAGAACGTACCCTGGTTACGGTCCGGTATACCGGAACGTACCCTGGTACTAGAGCATATAAATCAACGTGATTTATATGCTCTGCTGGTACTATCTAATATGCCGGACCGTACCTCGCCTACTCCACTAATGAGTCTAGGGAGTCGCCTTCGCCTACTCCTTAACCCTAACTCTAACCCTAACCCTAACCATATCAGATAGTTACCAGGGTACGTTCCGGTAGGGTACGTTCCGGCAGTACCCTGGGGGACATAGACCCTATGAGCCTTAGTGACTTCATTTAACTTGAACACTCTACTCACGTAATTGGAATGGGGAAATTTTTTCCAGGTACACAACACCACAACTGTGTGCGCGTGTGCATGCACCAGTGAAAAAAATACACGGGGGCTCGGGGCGATTTAGCCCCCGAAATGTCAAAAAGAGACCCGGAAATGCCAAAAAGAGCCCCCGGAAATTTGCATATAGAGTTTAATGCAAACCAAATTTTAGAGTGCTATTTTCATGTACGCGAGCTTGAAAAATAGCCCCCGAAAAATAGATTTAAATTTTTTCCCTGGCATGCACGTGTGTGTTTGCTTGGATTAGTAAAATGGTGGAATTACATTCAGCAGATTTTGAAAAATACGACTATAGTAACAAATTTAAAGGATTTATTTTGAAATCATTGCTAAAAAATGCACAATGTGAAAAAATATTGCGATATATAGTCTCATCATGTAGCAGATATATTAGGGCGTACTGATTACACCAACTTGAAAAACACTAAGAATTTATGCTGTTATAGCAGAGAAAATTAGAATTGAACATGCAGTAACACCATGGCATGGCATTTTTTATTATAGCAACAATCAGTGTGTTAGCCAGAGACCCGTCTACACGTCTTTTGGGCAGCCTATTCTTGGATGAGATGGATGAAATTTGATAGAGACGGCATGAGGGCGGCCCAATTTTACCCCTGCACGAAACCCACGTCAGTGAAACATCATTATGTAGAGTAGATGAATTAATGACGCCTTGCATAACTGACAACAGTGCTTAGAATATAAAATCATATCAGATTCCTATCTTTTTGACACTTCAGACTAAATTTCCTCCATTTTAATAAGGCAAGGCCCTCCCCTAGGGTGCTTCGCACCTGCAGCATCCTCGCTTCGCTCAGATGGTAGATGGTGAGACTCCCTGATTTTTTTTCTGGCCAACACCCTGGTGACAATTAATTTGCTAATGGTGCCTTAGTGCACCAACAAGTTACATGTGCACCCATAGTGCATCTAATTCAAACAAAAAGGCATCTGATTCTGTGTAGGTTACTCCGTTTCTTTTTTTAAATTGGCCGACATTTCGCGCTATCCTGAGATAGTCCGAGATTCGCATGAAATGGTGGCGGTAATCAACACGAGTAATCAGAACTGGAATCGTACATATTTTGGTGAATATAGCCAAGTACGAAGGTTCTAAGACATGTTAGCGTTACTCTAGACAGTTTCTGTTACCCAAGCAATAATGGTAAGTATCACAAAAGTGGGGAAAACACGAGACTG